AACCAAGTGACACCTGCAGGTATTTTCCCAGTCGTCAGTGAAAGAGTGATTTGCAACCCACCAGTCATTTTTCATCCTGCCGCCCATTCCTGCGGTGTGGCTTATATTACTTCTACTGTTGTCGTACAAGGACGCAAGTTGTGAACTCGCGCTCAGGGCGGTGTTCGTCAGTCCAACAAACAACGCTGTACGTTCGTTTGTCGCTCACGATGTTCGATCGCGGAAACTCCGCAGTCAGAGGACTTGTTGACTGCTGCTGCTACTGCTGCTGTAACTGCTGCTGTACCGCTACCACCGCCGACGTCGGAAGACTTCTGTGCAACGACAGAAAAAGATCATCAAATCGAACTGACTGGGATTTTGGAAGTGGCGCTTGGAGCTCTAGACTACCGCTTTTACACAGAGAAAATGATCTGGGGCACGCTGCTCCTACGCTACATGCGGTGCGGACAACAGCAGCACAACGCCGGATCTAGTCCACAAGTAAGTCCCTCGCATCATCCCGGCGCTTGATCAATGAGACAGAGATACATGGCAACCAGTGCAAAGAACGATCAACAACGACCGCAGGAAACAGCATAGACTGCTGCTGTGCTCTTGGTATTTACCACACTTTTTAGTGCATGTTTTCTGTTGGATCCCCACATCAAACATGAATATGAGACTATATACGGTGTGGTCTACGGTGCTTTGCTGGCTCTCACCGCGGATGTGCCGTAGAGCGATCCCGGCTGGGACACGTCGTGGTACACGTCACGGTCCATCCTCGGCTGCAGTCCTCCCCACTGCAGCGGCAGCGGAGGTGGCACCGGTAGGGGACAGGCAAGTCGAGTGCTCCATGGTTCTCGGCGTTTTTTCAATGCCATGATACTACTGCCCTGTATGTATAGTCTAGACTAGTCTATGTGGTATCCAATATCGACGCCTCTCCGTACCCTCTGACGTGCAAGGACGTGTGCTGAATCAAAAGTAGCTACGGGCGTGGGCTCGTTCTCTAGGACGTGGGAGCGTCCGGCCTGTCTCATGGGAGCAACATACAATATGCGTCTTCTGGTCATGCCAATCCTGTCTCTCTCGTGCACAATCATCATCATTCATCATGCTCTCACTCACATTGATTGATGTGGCCCCACTCCAGGTAGGTAGTAAAACCGTGTTCGCAGGATAATCAACCAGGCAAGAGAGCAGGTGCGCGAGACAGGCACGCGGGTGCCCACGGGAGCGCGGCTGACTTGTGTCGGCTCCAATGGTGGTAGTTGGTGGTGCTGCTTACGCGTGAAGGCCGATGATGGCGTGTCACCCGTTGTACCGAGTGCGCTGGTGTAAGTGAAAGAAAGAGGGGAGATGGTGTCGGGGGCAAGATACGGTATGATGAACGCTTCAGGCGGTGTAGAGTGTTTTACGGGAAAAAAAAAAAACTTGCCGGTAGTTGGATAGACTTAACACTCCTGTGACTTCCTCCAGTTCACCGTCACACCTACTTACGAAGTATCTATCTATACAGCAGTGTATGCATGTATGTATGTATGTATGTATGTATGTATGTATGTATGTATTTTTCCTACGCTCGAAGAAGAACGACTTACTTGTTTCCGGTTCGATTTGAGGGGGGAGGGGGGGGGTCGCATGTGCGTGTTAGAGATAGATATTATAAAGAAAGATATAATATAACGACTAGCTAAGGCGACGACAAATGGTAGACACGTCCATCCATCCATCCATCCATCCATGTGATCCCACAGGTTAACGTGGTTGATTTTTCAGCCCCAACTACTACGTCGCGACAAGGATGTGTGCTATCCCCACTGACTGCTGTTCAACATCTTCGCCGAGGTCCTCGAGGTCGTTGTCATCCGATTCAGCGAGGATGATGTTGTTCTGCGGAACCTGGTGTGCTTGGAGGAGGGGAAGACGGAAGCGGGGTGGGGAGGAGACACCCCTTGACCGAGTACGGAGGGCAGTATGGGGGATGCTGTATGCCGATGATGCTGGCGTCGTATCGAGGTCTGCAGAAGGACTGGCGAGAATGATGACCATCATCGTTGAGGTGTTCGGGGAGTTCGGGCTAACGGTGTCGGAGAAGAAGACGGAGACGCTCCTGATGCGCGCAAAGGACAAACCGACTACAACGTCACAGCCCGCCCCGCCTCCACCACTGACCATCGAAGCCGCGGGACCGAAATACGCTCAGACGACCGAGTTCCGGTACCTCGGTGGCCTCGACAACGAACATGGCGACCTCACCCGGGATATCAACTACAGGAGAAGAAGGGCGTGGGCGTGCCTCAGGCGATATGGCCGGGAGCTCTTCGACAGACCGCAAGCGCCATTCCGACTCAAGATCCGCCTGCTCCAGGCGGAGGCGATGNNACGCTGCACCATTGCGCCAACCCCCCACTAGTGATGACGTACCATTACAATGTATCGCTGGTTGGTGGCCATGTTTGCGTGTTTGCTTGTCGTTGGTGGCCTCTCCAACGTGTGCCTTTTTCTGTCTCTTATTTCTTGTTATTTTCGGCCTGGTCCCTTTTTGTCCCCGCTCTTTGTATTCAATTTTCTCTTTCCTTATGGTTTCCTTGCATTTTCTTCTCTTTTTCTCTTAATCTCTTTTTCTCTCTTTTTCTGTGCCACATGGCCTTGTTTCTGCTTGCGCTGTGAAGTACCAAGATTGAATCAAGGGGGTGTACCTCATTCTCTCCGGCCCGTAATGGTGACCCCTAGTCTCAGTTGTTACCTCGCATAGCGCGCAGAGGGAGTGGAGGACTCCAGAATATCTGGCGTTGATTTATATTGACTTGCGGGCCGGGGCCATTTTATTTGAGTGTACCTTTTAAGGGTAAGTTAGCCTGCAACCACGGGAATCGACCGCGTCGAGTGCTGGATCAGTACGGACATACGAAGGTACTGGGTAGAGAGAGATCGGAACGGTTTTTNGCCGGGGCCATTTTATTTGAGTGTACCTTTTAAGGGTAAGTTAGCCTGCAACCACGGGAATTGACCGCGTCGAGTGTTGTATCAGTACGGACAAACGAGGGTACTGGGTAGAGAGAGATCGGAACGGTTTCTACGTACACTGAACTCACGGTTGTTCGATGTACGTACGTACGAAGTACATTCTCTTTGCTCTCTCTCTCTCTCTCTCTCTCTCTCTCTCACGACAACAACTCACAGATGGATGACGAGTGATGCTGATGATATGAAAAGATGCTTGCTTGCAAACACTAGAAGAAGGGTCGTGTAGATGCTGCACATACATACGTTAACGAGATGCCTGTCACTCACTTATTACTTGCGTTTCACTGCAGAATGCCTATCCTCCATATTCCGTGTTGATGGAGAAACGCCCGAGGTGCTTGTTCTGCCATCGCCGCCACGGAAAGGCGTCGCGCCTTCACTGTAGTATGTAGTCGCACGTGTTTCGCAGAACGCATGTATGTGCGTGTTTGCTTTCCTCTGCAAGGGGTCGCGGGTGGCACGAAGCTTGGTAACTGACATTTCATACTGTAAGTAGTGCGGTATACGGCCAGATAATGTAGAGGCTTTGTTTATTATTATCGACTTGGTCCAAATTTTGTTGTACATACTAGTCTAATACGTAAAGCGGCGGTAGGCAATACCCAGTCCTCGAGGAGCTGCAAGATGCCTTGCTTGTGAGACGGGACATAGATCCAGGGTGGGGAGGGGGGCAACAACGGAAAGGTCCAGGGTGCGGCGAGGAATACTTCAGTCAATTGGACGTCTAGTCTACACAGACCTTTATGGAGACAAGAAGTTACTCATTAAAAACAAGTGCAAAGCCATGCCAAGCGTCAGACAACTCCTTGACAAAAATGAAACATAGTATACATGTATATCTAAATATACATGTATATTGATATTTTGGTCTTCTCGCGACCGCCAGAGGTGATGCCGCAATATTTCAGTACCGCCAGGTGAAAACCGCCATATTTTGGTGGTACCGGGACCGCCGAAGGCGATGCCGCCATATTAAAGTACCGCCCGAAAAATAGCGCCATATTTGGCAGTATCGGGAACCGCCGAAGGCGGTACCGCCATATTTCAGTACCCGGAAAAATACCGCCATATTTGGCAGTACGGGGAACCGCTAAAGGCAGTACCGCCGGAAAACGAAGTAACGGGATCCGCCGAAAGAGTACCGCCACATTGAAGTACCGCACCGCCTGTATCCGCCTAAAAAGCGGTACCGAGGTGCACCCTGAAGTTAACGTGGGTCTCTGACCTTCGAAACAAAGGATGGAGAGGGCACCTTTGGCAGCAGCGTATAACGCATAATGTTTAACGCCCGGTACTGTGTAGTGTAGTAATGTAAAGGGCTCGGGTAAGGGAATTCAGTTCCTCGAAGTGAAGTTTGGTTGCATACCGAACGCCAACCGCACTATTTGCATATATCCATTTGCTCGCACTTCATTCACTTCTCTGCATTTCGCGTCCCCTATACTCATCGGAGAGGAAGCAATGCAGGTGAATAATTCAACCACCCTCACTACTGGCTAATTGAAGCTACGCAAGCACACCAAGACACGTCGTCGCCCTCGCCACCAGTACGTAACGAACAAGCTGGAACGCACGCAAACCTCATGCTCATCCACGAAAACATCTGCGGCTTTTCAACATCTACACACGAGAGAGCACGGACAGAAACACATCACCAACCACCCAGAAGAGCGTGTATCGACACCAGTTCCGCACAGGCCTCGTGCAACAATACATAACGAGAGCTGCAACCCCTTCCTCCGCTTTGCTTCAAAACATCACACACCACGTCCCACCCTGTAGAGGGCCGTCGACACCCCTACCAATGTTGGGCAGAGAGCTAAAGTTGGGCCTGAGACGGGCTGGAGGTGAAAGCATCCCCGCGCGACAATTCAGGCGCCGGTTAAAGGTCGACAAGAGGAGAACTCGTAAAGGTACCGATGGGCGAGGGTTGAGCACCCTGAACACCGAGGGAGAGGGAGGGGGGATGAAGACAGGCGGCGAGGGTCACGTGCCTTTGCGAGTTTTGGGCAAGGACAAGCATGAGCGAGGTGAAAGCTGCGATTGACAACAATTATCGTGGCAGCCACGACGAAGTTCGGCAACTACAGTAAAACAACTTTGTACGGTACATCAGAACGCTACCGCATTCTTCATCATCACACGAGGAAACACGCCATAGATAGAGAAGAGAGCTACGTCATCAGTTCTCTTCAGTGCAGTACGGGAATAACCGAGCCCTCTACCGTAGGTGGCATCCAAACACATGATTCGCACAAGAAACCAACCGCACGTGCCATTCCAACCGCTATCCTACCTACAACGGGCGATCGTCAAGTTCGCTACAACAGTCTTCGATTTTTGAGACCGGGTATGCATGTTGAATGTACAGACGAACGCCCGCGGAGCATAAGGACGACAACCGACGTTCAGCCGTAACGCCGTGCGCGGGCAAGGAAGCCCTCACGCTCTTCGGATTGGCCAGACATCCCGGACGATATGCGAAACGGAGTGTCTGTACCGGGAAGCATTCCTTAAAGCTTCCTGCAGATTGAGAATCTCTCCCGCCGACATGCACGCCTTGGGTTGTTCGTTGTGACACATTTCCTTCGCACCAACCACCGGGTGACAGCGGCACGACTGCTGCTCCAGTGGCTGCATTTGCGAGCTCTACGGCCACGGTCAACTTCCTTACAGGCGCTGGCAACAAGCAAGAAACCAACCGCACGTGCCATTCCAACCGCTATCCTACCTACAACGGGCGATCGTCAAGCTCGCTACAACAGTCTTCGATTTTTGAGACCGGGAATGCATGTTGAATGTACAGACGACGCCCGCGGAGCATGAGGACGATAACCGACGTTCAGCAGTGACGCCGTGCGCGGCCAAGGAAGCCCTCACGCTCTTCGGATTGGCCAGACATCCCGGACGATATGCGAAACGGAGTGTCTGTACCGGGAAGCATTCCTTAAAGCTTCCTGCAGATTGAGAGTCTCTCCCGCCGACATGCACGCCTTGGGTTGTTCGTTGTGACACATTTCCTTCGCACCAACCACCGGGTGACAGCGGCACGACTGCTGCTCCAGTGGCTGCATTTGCGAGCTCTACGGCCACGGTCAACTTCCTTACAGGCGCTGGCAACAAGCAAGAAACCAACCGCACGTGCCATTCCGACCGCTACCAGGACCGTAGTCTACATTGATGTCGGGGCTCATACTAATGAACGCGGGAGTATTTACAGGTGGATGGATGTCCACAACGCTATCGTACCTAGAGTACTCGAAGGAAAACAGCCAGCGGGCACCACAAGTATTTGGTACTAGGCAGACAGCAAGACAGCCAATACAGGTGAGAGATGATGCGTAACGTGAAAATGCGATAATGGGGTAGGTTCGGGTTTTGTGTTGCATCCCGGTGAACACTCGGGTGGGTGCGAGGGGAGGGATCTATACTCGCCTGGGGCTGCTGGCCTTTCTTCGACTTGTTGGCCTTCGCCGTGTCGGCCGGCGCCGCCGCCGCCTGAAGTACGACGGACTTCAGCGAGCGTAGGCGAAGTGATGGACAGCAATGGCCCCAAACCAAGGAAGGGAAGTAGGGAGAGAACCGGCGGAGGTCACGTGTCTTTGCAAGTTTTGGGCAAGGACAAGCATGAGCGAGGTGCAAGCTGGGATAGACAACAATTATCATGGCAGCCACGACGAAGTTCGGCAACTACAGTAGAACAACGCTGTGCGGTACATCATAACGCTACCGCATTCTTCATCATCACACGAGGATACACCATCGGCAAAGGAGGGAACCATTTCATCAGGGATCGTCAGTGCAGTGCGGGAATCACCGAGTCCTCTACCGTATGTGACATCCAAACACATGATGCGCACATGTGACATTTTTACAGGCCACAGACAACGGACAAAGCAAGGACGCTGGGGTCAGTCAAGTTTACACATGTACGGCTAGATGGGATTCCCCACTGCTGCACTCTCTATCGGACACTACTCGCCTGTCACGTGAATTGAGGGGGGGGGCGTGCTCTTGTGTTTTTTCCGGACTGCCTCTACGACTTCAAACAGATCGTTGATGAACACGTGGAACAATGTTGGGGACAGCGTGCAACCTTGTGGCACCCCCTGCTCAATGTCGAAGAATTTGGACAGTTCTCCGTCTAACATGACCGCGCTTTTCGTACACTCTGTCATCGTCATGCCTTAGCGGTTAGACCATTGACCACGCGTCCTCGAGAGGACGGAGCATTGTTCCCACAGGACCGATCACCGATGACCAATCGTTTATTTAGCCCCTGCCATGCGTCCTGTACAACCTTGACCCATTCCGTGGGTTGTCTCATCCTCTTTTTGTTTGCCTACTTCATTCCCCATACAATCCTCGGCAACCTCTCCTCTCCCATCCCGTACATGCGATACTGCCATGTCAGCTTCCTCGCGCCTCTTCCCGACCGTAGGGATTGGATCCCCAATTCTGCCCTGACGGCTGGCATTACTTGTGCGCTTGGGGCATCCTAGGATGATTTTCGCTGCTTTCATCTGCGCCGCCTCGAGTTCTTTCACTACCATCTTATTTTCTTCCCATACTTCTCCGGCGTACCTTAGCGGCGGTACGATTACGCTCTTCAAAACCTTCAATTTGATGCGTGTATCGAGGTGCCGGTTTGCGAGTATTGGGTGCAGCTTCCCTGCTCGTGCTTTGCCCTTTTCCGCTACCTTGGACATGTGTGCATTCCACGAGCAGTCTTTTGCGATCTCTACTCCGAGGTATGTGTACTGGTCCACTACTGCAATCTCCTCGACCCCCCACTTCCATCTATGTTCTGCTGGTTCCTCCTAGTTCTCGTTGCGTACCATGACGGCAATCTACACTTATCCGTAAACTTCTTCGCCGCGTCAATTTGCAGCTGCAGTCCCTCTGGGGTGTCCGACATACCGACAAAATCATCCGCAAACAGCATTCCTGAAACCGACGTTTCCGTGTCTTTTACTCCCTTCCGGACTGCCTCTACGACTTCCAACAGATCGTTGATGAACACCTGGAACAATGTTGGGGACAGCGTGCAACCTTGTGGGACCCCCTGCTCAATGTCGAAGAATTTGGACAGTTCTCCGTCTAACATGACCGCGCTCTTCGTACACTGTCATCTTCTTCAGCACTCTCCACATTCTCCCCTTGATCCCGTATTTGGACAGTTTTTTCCACAGCCCATTTCTCCATGCTTGTATCGTATGCCTTTTTCACGCCCAGGAAGAAGCAGTGCTTCGGCTTTCCCGCCCTCTTTCTACCTTGGATGATTCTCCCTGCCGTTAATGCGTGGTCCATTCACCCCCTCTTCTTTCGGAAACCTTCCTGGCCTCACTAATGCTATGTTCCTTCTCCAATACTCCCACTATCCTATCGTGTAGCAGCCTACAGAACACTTTTCCAACTGTGTTCAACAGTGTGATCCCCCTGCCGTTTCCTGGGGTCAGTCTTGTCTCCTATCTTGACTAAACAACTTCACCACCACTAGATACATCGTGGCAAGCTGCTGTGCTCGCGGCCGAGCAAGCACCTCCGTCCACGGGAGAGGGTGATCGCTCTCCTACCTACAACGGGCGATCGTCAAGCTCGCTACAATGATCTTCGATTTTTGAGACCGGAAACGCACGTTGAATGTACAGACGACGCCCGCGGAGCATAAGGACGTTATCCGACGTTCAGCCGTAACGCCATGCGCGGTCAAGGAAGCCCTCACGCTCTTCGGATTGGCCAGACATCCCGGACGATATGCGAAACGGAGTGTCTGTACCGGGAAGCATTCCTTTAAGCTTCCTGCAGATTGAGAATCTCTCGCCAACACGCACGCCTTGGGTTGTTCGTTGTGATACATTTCCTTCGCACCAACCACCGGGTGACAGCGGCACGACTGCTGCTCCAGTGGCTGCATTTGCGAGCTTTACGGCCAGGGTATACCTCCCTGAAAAGCACTGAATACATTCAGGAAACCAACCGCACGTGCAATTCCAACCGCTGCAAGAACCGTGGTCTACATGGGTGTCGGGGCTCATGTCATTGTACGCGGAGTATGCACAGATGGATGGATGTCCACAACGCAATCGTACCTAGAGTACTCGAAGGCAAACATCAAGCGTGCACAAGAACTTGTCAGAAAGCATGAGGGCCATACAGATGAGTGATGATACGTCACTTGAAATGCTAATGTGGGGTAGGTTCGGGTTTGTGCACATGGCATATGCGGAGACGCGTACTTTCTTCTTCAGGCCGAGCTTGGTTCTGTTACGCCTGCACCGGGCGGCACGCTTGGTCCGGCCGAGCCACTCATGCAAGGCCTTCTCAAACAGACTACGCCAGGGGGTCAAGGTTGTGGATTTGATTTTCTATCGTTGCAAGTTTAGCTGGGACACGGTACGCAAGGAGCTAAACATACACACCAACCCTTCCTAAGGTGGGATTAGAATCGTAGGTGACAAAACTATGCGTACTCACGCCGGAGCGCAGCGTACAGCACGTACGATGGTTATGCACAGAACAATATTCGATTGCTCACTCTTGTCTCGGTGCAGTTGCCACTGCTCCAGGAGAGTCACATCGTCTTCAGCCGTCCAAATAACCACCTTCTTCGTGTGCGCCGTCTGGCGGACTGCACCAAAACGAAGAAGGTGATACCGTGGACGACGGAGGATGACATGACTCCCCTGGAGCAGTGCCAACTGCACCGCGAGAAAGTGAGTTAATCGAAGCTTTTTCTGTGCACAACCAGGAAACGAAAACGAAAACAGGCAACGAACCCTCCTGAAGAACCTAAACCTTGAGCCACCCAACAAAACCAACATACGACGGAGAACTCCTCAAAGGAGTCCACATTTACCCCAGCCGCGTTGTGCTATGAAGCAAGATGATGGTATATTGCCCTGCCGTACTAGCAAACGAAAGCGAACAAGGGCCCGAAAATGAAATGATTGATCTTTTTTAACCGTTCTAGCAGTTACCATCTCTATTTCTTAGACTTGGGAAATTTTACTCCTATTATTCTATCTTGATTTTTAACACAGGACCAGTAGCCACGGAAATAGGTTGGCAACCTATTTGAACCTATTTGATCAGTGTTTGGATAAACACTGACGAGGAGAATCGAATTAA